CAAAAAAAAAAAAAAAAGAAATCATAAACATATTTCACAAAGAAATGGGATCATGTAGTTGAACTTTTTTTTGGATATCAGGTCTTGTTTGTAAACCTCACTCTTAGAAGAAATATAAACATATTCTGTGTTTGCTGTTGTAAATATGGCTAATGTTTTTTGATTCTATGAATAAGATAAAGATGGATCTTTGGCCGTGGGAAAAATACAATTAAGTTATGAAGTCAAAATTCCTTTGGAACTAATAAGTATACAGCTATAGGAAAAGTAACGTTAAAGCAGTACGCATTTAAGTAACAGAGGTATAGAATGAGAGGAAAATAGCTTCCAACTGGAGTCACCAGGAAAGGATTTTAAAGGCAATGGTATTTTATCTTGTCCTTTAAGAAGGTAGTGTTGGTACTGATGAAAGAAGTCAAAGAAGACTTCAGCAGAGAGACATATTGTGGTCGTGGAATGGAAAACTCAATATTGTTAAGATATCAGTTGTCCCTAAACTGAGCTATGGATTCAGTACAATACAATTCAAGGATTTTTTTGTAGAAATAAATATACTGATTCTAAAATATGTATCAATAGTCAACAGAACTAGAAAAGTCAAAATGATTTTGAAAACGAACAACAAAGTTGCAAGACTCACATCTACTTGATTTTAAGATTTTAAAAGTCACACAATCAAGACAGTTCTGTATTGGTGAAAGAATAGATGCATAGGTCAATGAAAAGAATAGAGATTCAAGAAATAGACCCTTATGTATACATACATAAAGTGAACTGATATTTGACAAATATAGAAAGTTACATAGCTAAAAGGAGAAACCTTAAAATGATCCTCCAGCCATACCTCAAATTCTGTACAAAACATTAACTCAAAATGGATCATAGGCGTAAATGTAAAACCTAAAACTATAAAACTTTAGTAAAAAACACGAGAAAATATTTGCGACCTTGGATTAAGCAAAGATTTCTTAGCTATGACACAAAAGCACAGTCTCTAAAAAAATATGAACTTTTGTTCTTCAAAAGGCCCTGTGAAAAGAGTGAAAAAGGGAATACTTACAAATTACATATCTCATAAAGGACTTGTGTCCAGAGTATATAAGGAACTCTCAAAACTTAATTAAAAAAAAAGAAAAACTAATTTAAAAAATAGGCGAAAGTTTTGAACAAATACTTTACTAAAGAAGATATATAGACGTTAAAACACCTAAAAAGATGCTCAACATTATTGGTAGGGAAATACATACTAAAACCATATGAGGTATTAAAACTGCAATGAGTGCTGCTATACATACACCTCTTAGAATATCTAAAATTAAAAACAAAAACAATATCAAGTGCTGGTCAGAATGGTGAGCAACTGCAATACTCATATATGGATAGTGGAATGCAAAGTGCTTTGGAAAACGGTTTCACAATTTTTTATAAAGTTATACATGTATGTATTTTATGACAAAGCAATTTTACCTCTGAATATTTGCCCAAATAAAGTGAAAACTACATTCACACAAAAACTCATGTAGATGTTCATAGTGGCTTTATTCATATTAATAAAAAACAAAACAACTCAGATATTGCTCAACTGGGAAATGGAGAAACATTTAAACATTCATCTGCATAAAGAACAAACTGCTGCTACAGTGTTGATAAAAACAAGTGTATTATGCTGTGTAACAGATGCCAGACTCAAAAGACATACTGTATGATTTTATTTATGTGAGATTCTGGAAGTTCGTTTAGTGTGGTGGGAGTAGACTTTTGGGTTGTAGGTGTTGATAGGGCATTCAGGTTCCTTGGAGTGCTCCATAGACCGTTCTTGAATTGGAGGTAAAGTCCATAGTAGAGGAAGTCAGCCTTGAGATAGGAGGAAAGATAGGGAGCACAGGTAGGATAAGGAATGTTAGGTGTAGAAGAACAGAGTGTTAGGAAAGTTTTTTGACAATACCTTGAATTAGATAGTATAGAAATTAGTCTCATATGTTAAGAGTAAGAGAAAGATTGAGAGCTGAAGTGTGTAGAACCAGTTTAGTACAGCTGGTGTAACAAAGGCTAAAAGGGGTTAAATGAGTATCCCTGAAGGCCAGCTGAGATTAAACACAGAATTTCAACTACATGGTTTCCTGACTTTGTTTAGCCATGTTCCATATCCCCAAACATGGTGATAAAGGCATAAGGAAGGGGTTTTTCTATGGATGGTTTGCATGACTAGCATGGCAGAAAGTTAAGGAGGTAAGTAGTTATTTCTGAAGCAGAGGGGAGGATCATTTAATTGGCTGAGCCATGAAGTCCATGTCATGATAAGGAGCTTGTTAAGATATGATAGTAAGTTACAATGACTTTTGACTTGCCTTAACACTATTATATTTTCTTCATGAAGAAGTACCCTTAGAAAAGAGACCCTCAGAAGAGTCTTCTCTTAAGAAGATAAAGAAGGTAGTGGAAACGAGCATCCTGAGCTTTTCAGGCCCTAAATGGCTGAAGAATCAAGAAAACCTTCAGCCCCATCCCCACCAGACCAGACTCCTGAAGAGGATCTTGTAATCATCAAGGTAGAGGAGGATCATGGTTGGGACCAGGAATCTAGTCTGCATGAAAATAACCCTCCTGGCCAAGAACTGTTCCGCCTGCGTTTCAGGCAGTTATGCTATCAGGAGACACTAGGACCCCGAGAAGCTCTGATCCAACTACGGGCACTTTGCCATCAGTGGCTGAGGCCAGATTTGAACACCAAGGAGCAGATCCTGGAGCTGCTGGTGCTGGAGCAGTTCTTGACCATCCTACCGGAGGAGCTCCAGACTCTGGTTAAGGAACATCAGCTAGAGAACGGAGAGGAGGTGGTGACTCTATTAGAGGATTTGGAAAGGCAGATTGATATACTAGGACGACCAGTAAGTAGAAGGAGGTGTGCATGCTGTGACTGTGGGAGTCCTGGAAGCTTGGTAGAGGGACATAGGCATGATAGTGGGAGAGGAAATGATTAGCATCAGTTTCTGTTTGATAAGGATGAAAATAGTTGTAGTGTAGTATGGCTTGTAGAGCTCTTTTTACTTTTGTAAAGGATATAAATTCTTTTTTTTGGCCATCATAACATCCCTACAACTGTGTTGTTCCTGTTTGCCAGATGGGAACTTGATGCATAGGGAGCTTAAGTTACATTTTCAAGGGCACCCAAATAATTAAAGATAAATTTGAGAAATCAGGCTTTCTAGTTCCTTATTAAAGGATTTTTCTACTGCATAGCACTGGCTTTAAGTTTGTTTATTATTTTCCTCCATCCTCTGCTTTAGGAGTACAAAATATTGTTCTGTGTAGCAGGGAAGGCATCAGCAGAAATATTTTCCTTCAGTACTGAGCAAAAATGATGCCTTTCTTTCTGTGCCAGTCTACATATTTGTGTTCCTTACTGTCTCTATGAAGTAAGGGAGATTCTCCTACTTCCTTCCCCAAGCATATATCCCTATAGAGGTGTTCTTGGTCCTCTTTCATTGTTCACTACATTTCTCAAAGGGATTCCTTATTATCCAAATGTCTGTTGTTTTTAGGTGTCAGCTCGTGTACATGGACATAGGGTACTCTGGGAGGAGGTAGTACATTCAGAATCTGCACCAGAGCCTCCAAGTACTCAGCTCCAATCTGAGGCAACCCAGCATAAATCTCCAGTGTCCCAAGGGTCACAAGAGAGAGGTGAGTAGCCAGATTTCATTGATGACAAGTGGGGAAAGTTGAAAGAAAAGAAGTCCATTTGGGATACCTATCTAGTTGTTGAAGAACCAAGAACTGAAATCCTGTTTACAGACCAGTCCCAATGTCTGTGTTTAAATGTTTAGGCTTCAAATATAGACTGTTCATCCTAGTGGCAAACTCATGAACAAATTAAAGAATTTGGGTATTTTTTATGTATTTACATACTTCTGTTACCCCAGTATATTTACAACATAGGCGTTTTTGAGTTTATGCTGATATTGTCATACCACTTTATTTGGAAATATTTCAGTATGTATTTCCTCCGACAAGAGCATTTCTTAGGTAACCTAAATAAATAAATTTCTAAATTTATCACAATTAAGAAATAAAATATTGCAGCTGGGCACAGTGGCCCACACCTGTAATCCTAGCACTTTGGGAGGCTGAGGTGGTTGGATCACCTGAGGTCAGGAGTTCAAGACCAGCCTGGCCGTCATGGTGAAACCCCATCTTTAAAAAAAAAAAGGAAGAAAGAAATATAATATTGCTACAATACTAATAGTAGATCACAGTTCATATTTTGTCAGTTGCCCCAATTATGTTCTTTCTGGTCCAGAGTATAGTCCGGTATTGCACTTGGCAGTTAGTTGTCATGTCTCTTTAGTCTTCTGTAATTTGGAATAGTTCCTTGGCCTTTCTTTTTTTGAAGAGTACAGGTGTGTTATGTTGTAGAATGGCTGCAATTTGGATTTGCGTGATGTTTGCTCATGTTTACAATGAGGTCGTATATATTTGGCAGGAACACCTCACCCTGCCAAGGATACATGACCTAAGTCTTTTTTTTTTTTTTTGAGATGGAGTTTCGCTCTTGTTACCCAGGCTGGAGTGCAATGGTGCGATCTCGGCTCACCGCAACCTCCGCCTCCTGGGTTCAGGCAATTCTCCTGCCTCAGCCTCCTGAGTAGCTGGGATTACAGGCACGCGCCACCATGCCCAGCTAATTTTTTGTGCTTTTAGTAGAGACGGGGTTTCACCATGTTGACCAGGATGGTCTCGATCTGTTGACCTCGTGATCCACCCGCCTCGGCCTCCCAAAGTGCTGGGATTACAGGCTTGAGCCACCGCGCCCGGCCATGACCTAAGTCTTAACAAGAGATGTTGTACTCCTTCTCAGATGTACAACAGGAATTTGTCCTATTATTGGTGGTGTTAACTTTGATGACTTGGTTAAGGTTATTCTTGCTAGGTTAATCATTGTATAGTTACTGTTTTTCCCTTTGTAACTAATAAGTAACTTTTAGAAGATACTCTTGAGAGTATGTAAATATCTTAGTCCTTATTAAACTTTTGTTACTAAAACACTGGTTTTAGTGTTCATTTGTGCTTCTTGACTGACTTAGTGATTACTAGAATGGTTATGAAATAGTGATTTCTTAATTCTGTCATTCCTTCTACATTTCTTTATTGTAAAGAAGAGTGTTCTGTTCTCCCGATTTTATTATTTTTATTTATCAATATGGGCTCATAAAATCCTATTTATTCCATAAGTATTTTGTTACTGTCTTTATTTTGTTTTTGTTTTGTCTTTGAGACAGTCTCACTCTGCTATCCAGACTGGAGTGCAGGGGCACAATCTCGGCTCACTGCAGCCTCTGCCTCCCAGGTTCCAGCAATTCTTATGCCTTAGCCTCCCCAGTAGCTGGGATTACAGGTACATGCCACCACACCTGGCTAATTTTTGTATTTTAGTAGAAACAAAGTTGGCCAGGCTGGTCCCAAACTCCTGGCCTGAAGTGATCCTCCCACCTCAGCCTCCCAAAGTGTTGGGATAACAGGCATGAGCCACTGTGCCCGGCCAGTGTCTTTATTTTGATGCTAAATAATCTGAGATTTGGCCATAGAAGGCCCCTTCAGTCTGGCTCTTGCGTCCTCTTGATATTTTCCCATCATTTCTTAAATTTTTTTACTTTATTGCAGAATGAGATGTTCCAGTATCATCTTCCCCTGCATTTCATATGTTTTCATTTCTGTGATTTAGTGTAGTTTATATTTATGAATTTTTTATATTTCTAAAGAAACATTAAAACACTCTTAATAATTCTTGTCTGAAGTCCTAAAGCTTATTGCCTGAGATATAGTAATCTATATTTTCATAATAAGCTCTTTGATATCTGTAGAAAGCAAATACTGGAAGCCACAGTAGACATTTCAGAAAGGTAATGAATTAATAGAGATTAATTCTGATACTTAGTTTGCCAAGAGATCAGAACCTAAGGAAATACTGTATACAAGCACAAAGATAGAGGTAGTTTTGGGCCGGGTGTGGTGGTTGGATCACTTGAAGTCAGAAGTCAAGGCCAGACTGGCTAACATGGTGAAACCCCATTTCTACTAAAAATACAAAAAGTTGGCCGGGTGCGGTGGCTCAAGCCTGTAATCCCAGCACTTTGGGAGGCCGAGGCGGGTGGATCACAAGGTCAAGAGATCGAGACCATCCTGGTCAACATGGTGAAACCC